TTTACCTGGACTAGACTTGTTGAGGTGCTTTTTGAAAAAATTGAACGGCGGATTCCGGTTCCAAATTAACTGGACTGACAGTTCGACACTGAAATTCAAATTTAAATAAAATGTTTTTTTTTCTTAATTATTTGATTTTTAATTATTATTTTTAATTTCGCGAATCGACCCTGAATCATTGGGCAGGTTCTGAATAGAGATCGCCGGTTCATTGAACCTGCCCTTAGTCTTTCTCGGCCGATTTTTGGTTCACCGAAATGATGAACCTGAACTGGCAGTTCCTAATCGAAATCGATCCGAAATCGCCGGATTTCGACAACGTCTATTTAGGGAAGGTGGGAAAAGTGTGTGGAGAGATATCGTCGAATGACTCTGAATTTAAATTCACTACAAGAAAACACTTCAATTCCAATTGCAAAAATTTCCGTTGGAAATTCCAATGAATATTCCAACAAACTTAATTTTATGTTGGAATAAGTGTTGGATGGTTTAGGAATTCCAACGGGTTTTCTCCGTTGGAATAGTTGTAGGAATTTATTTCCATAGGATTTTCCGTTGGATTTTAGCTATTCCAACATCTGTTTTTCCCACAGATTTTTATACGTAGGAATATCCGTTGGAATAGCTATTCCAACGAAAAATATAAAGAATTCCAACGGAGAACTTCCGTTGGAATGTAAGAGTTTTTTTGTAGTGATTGTGATCGACAACAATTATATATTTATGTTCTGCAGTTTTATTACTCGAACACAAATTCTTAGGTGAAGTTGTAGATACTTATACAATGAAATGCTACATTTTTTGTATATGTTGTTATCTAGAATATGCTTTTTTTTTTATTATTTTAGAAGTGTACACATTTGTAAAAAAAACACAGTCGCTCAAGCGTTACGTCTATCTAACAGACTTACTATTACGTACATAAATTGTATAAGATCATCGCACAATGCAATGTCACCTAGCCGTTAGGTCTATCGAACAACAGACTTACTATTACATAAAATTGTATAAGATTGCACAACGCAGTGTTGCCTTTCGATTATAGTATCAAACATTAGCGTCGATCGACTTTGTTTCTATTCTTTCATATCTTTCAAACCCCAAACACATTGTTTCAAAAATAAATAAATAAATAAATAAATAAATATCAACAATTAATATACACCGAATAAAATGGCATTTGCCGACAAGTGTTGAGTGTGAAATACGGGCCGGAATTAAAGCCGGCCGTCCATTGTGGCCGGGGAAAGAAACAATAGAAAAAATGAAAAGAGGTGGAAGAACAAAATAAAGCTTTAACCTTTGGCCATTAATTAAACTAACATTATCTCCAATTTATCTATCCCTCACCTTTATTCATTATGTTTATATATTACACTCGTTAGTGTATAAACAAGTTGATGAAGGATAAAAAGCACAGCACAAAAGGCAACCTCCTAAGAATACATATTTACATATATCTGCAACAACACTCGTGGAAATCCACCTCTACAAAGTGCATGTCCACCTTTATTTGCGGCCTTTGAAGAAAATTTCTTCTTTCTTCTTCTGAATTCTCGCGTGAGACGGTTTAACCGTTAGGCAGCTCGACCAACTATACTTTTTTGAACAAAAATGTATGCGCGTTTATGAAATGAGATAATTTTGTTTAAGTTGCATTCGAGCATAACGTTTCAGTTTGACAGGTCAGACTGAAAATGTTAGATCATCATGTAAATGTTGAACAACAAATTTTGTTTAATTTTGTTTAATTTTGTTTAAGTTACGGTACCATTCCGTCCGGTGTAAATGTTAGATCATCATGTAAACGTCGTGGATAGTTGATCTAATGGTTACAAATCCCGACGAAATGATTTTGTAACGGGACCATAAAATCTCCTTGAAAAAAGTTCAATTTGTGGAGAAGAAAACCGAAATATACAGAACAGAAATAAATGATTTTTTTTTAAATAAATAATTACTAAATCTTCTGTACAATATGGTTGAATACACAATAGAATCCTGCTACATTAATTTTCCACTAAAGTAGAGATGATCTAATCTACTAAAAATGGAAATTAATTCAATTCTAAATTATGTGATTGGTACATCATCGTTAGCCGTTCTTTGGTCCAGTCAAAAAAAGGCTCTCCGCCGTCGGATCGATCGGGGGCAAATCAATGGTGGATAATCCTCCACGAAATAATTGTGAGATACATTTACACGCACTCAATATTTCTCCCTGCAAAAGCCAAAATGAGATACATTTACACGCACTCAATGTCTTCTCAATAAAACTTGCAACGCCAGCAAATTTAGGAATATTGCACACACGAGGCTCGAATATCCACTTTGTTTAACCTGCTTCATAATCATTCCAATAAATAAATTAAAAAAAAAAAACATAAGATTATAATCTCTCATTATAATTTATCTGTCCAACTAAATTTTACGTGAGACATATTTCATATCAAATAATATAGTACTTATATTTATATTATTTTTAATTTTATTACAATATGAAATATTGAACGTACAATGTACATTAATTAATTACTCAACCCACAACACACTTTTTCAATTTAGTTTTTCCCTAACCTTATTGGCACCGGAAGTCAACGAGATTGACGCGGCGGAGCCGGAGGAACCCGGCGGTGGGTCGGTCGACAAGGCCGAAAGCCCGACATTGTATGCCATTGTCCCGTCGGGATGAAAAAGCCCGTAATTCCTCTCGGAAGTCGGGCCGGGCTTTAGGTCCTCGTTGAATAGCGCGAACACGTAAATTTCGAGCCTTGATCGCGGCCTCAACGGCGTCCCTTCGCCCCTCATTTGCCTCCTCATAATATTCCGGTTATACACGGCCGCATTCTCGAGCGTGGCACCGAACTCATCCGAGTCCCCCCTCGACGGCCAACCCGTCTCGGAGACCCGAACCTCGAGCCCACCATACCCGAACCTCGCCATCGCAAAAACCACTGCATCGACTTGCGCGTAGAGCATGTTGTCGTACCGGAGGCCCGTGCCCGGATCCTCCGTGCCCTCGTTCGGGTTGAATAGCGCGTAATCGAGCGATATTCGGGCCGGACTGTCCTTGTATGCGAAGTACGGGTACGCGTTGATCCAGAAGGGCGAGCCCGTCGAGGCCAGGAACTGGAGTAGTTGGGCCACGACGGGCCCGATGTCGGGCCGGAATGAGCCCGCGGACGGTGGGAACGACTCTTGGAGCACGGAGAGGGAGCACGGGGTGGAGACGCGGACGATCGTGGCCAAACCGAGCTGGACGAGAGCCGAGTGGACAGATGACATGGCGGGGACGAGGTGGGCGATTAGGTTCGGGTCGGTGGCTGACGGGTCGCCGGTGAGGATCTCGTTTCCGACTGCGATTCCGGTGATTCGGGTGGCAGGGAGGAATGGGGCGATTTGGGCCCGGGCCCAAGAGAGGGCCCGACCCGGGTCGGAGAGGGAAGGGAGCAACGAGTTCTCGATCGTGACGATGAGTTCGATTCCCGAGTTAGCGAAGGCGGAGAGGATTTGAGGGTTCGTGTCGTAGATTCGGGCCTTCGTGAGGCGGAGGGAGCGGAGGAGCTCGACCACACGGTCGGGAGTCGGGAGATTGTCGGCCACTTGACCGTAGTTGATTCCGAGTGAGTCGGCTTGTCGGGGAAGAAGCGCGAGACCTAGGAAAAAAATGAGATGGAAAAATTAGTTTGAAATAGTTTAGATTTGAGTATGCTTGATGAAGATTAGAGGTGCATTTTGTGTCATTGTGTGTGTGTGTGTGTGTGTGTTTGGTACCTAATAATGTTAGAATGAAATGGAGAAGAAGAATGTGTAGAATGGGAGGGTTTGTATGAGGTTTTCCCATGATTTTGAGTTGAAATTATTGTGTAAGGGAATAAAATGAGGGAGAAGGGGGAAATGGAATGGAGTGAAGGGTGAGGGATATATAGAGAAGGGGGCTTTGAAATGGGGGAATTCTTTACTTTGCTTGTTTGTTTTTTTAGAGGGGTTTATTTAGGTGAAGGGGTTTAGTCTTTTTTGAATGACTTGTTGTTATAGGTTCTTTTTTCATTTATTGTGCAAAATTTGTTAATAAAACAACTA